GAGAGAGAGGGAGACACAGAAAGAGAGGTCTTCCAAACACTGGTTCACTCCACAAATGACTGCAATGGCCAGAGCTGGGCCAGTCAGAAGCCGGGAGCTTGGAACCTCCCCCGGGTCTCCCATGTGGGCAGACTTGGGCCATCTTCCACTGCTTTCCCAGACATACTCTCAGGGAGTTGGACCAGAAGTGGAGTAGTCTGGACTCGAACCAGTACCCATATGGGATGCTGGTGTCTCAGGTGATGGCTTAACCCACCATGCCACAGCACTGGCCCCCAGACCGGCCTTTTTACTGGCTGCCTGCTAGTCAGCATTTTGCCCAAAGCATGAAAATCAAAGTTTGCATTCCGAAGAGACTTGGTATTTGAGTCTCCCCTTCTTTTTCTCGTATTTATATCCAATTTTTTTTTGCCTTTGTTAGAGGAAATCAACCTATTATTATTTTCCAGTGCATACAAGCACATAGTAGGCTGATAGTTTTACTGTGTATCTTGAGTTCCTTGCTGTTCTTGGAGGTTCCGCTGTGATGGGATGCACAGAAGTGTGTAGATAGAGTGCGCCTGGTCTGCAGCTTGACTGTACCTGAACCCCTTTGGGTCCCCGGCTCATCTTCCTGTGATGAGCCTTGGGCAGCGATTGAGCTCTGTGGCTCTCGCATAGCAAATCTGCCTCTCAGTCACATCGTTTCTGCTCCTGCTTCTTGCTCTGGTTGAACGGGGATGGCTGAATTCACCCCGATGACAACAATGGGGAAAGCTGGGATTTAATTTTCCTGCCAGACAAAGGAGTGGCTCCTGTCAAGGAGCTCTGGCATCTGGTTTCCATCAGCTTTTGTTGTTTGTCTGTCTGAGGGGTCTGCTCCATCCTGGCACTTGAGAATGCAGAGCTGAAAGCTTTGTGGAGTTTCTCTTCCTATTGGCAGGATGCTATGTTTATAGATTTTGGTTTGTGTCGATTTGGGTTTCTCAGTCTGACTTTAAAGCTCAGAGCCTTTTTCTTTTTTTCTCTTTTAAGCATGGATACTTTTCCATGTGCATTTACTTCGAACACAATAGTTTTAATATCTGTACCATTAAAAATCTTGCACCAAAATGCAAAGGCATCTGAATCATGATCGGCTTTCATTTCTCTAACCACCAGGAGAATTCCATAATTCCTCTCTTTGGGGCTCAGAAAATAAACCTGAAGAAAGGAGGTTATCATTATTGTAACATATCTGGACACGAGAGAAAGGAGAGTGGACTGTTTTGGTAAATGTAGGAGGAGATCACAGAAGCACAGAGATGTATTAGCACTGGTGTCCCCCGAAGGGAAGCAGGGGTGGTTAGTGATGCACCTGAGAGGCTTAGGTAGCAAGGCTATCCCTTTACTGGTCAATATCCTAATACTGGCACCTGGATGTCCAGGCTAAGTTCTGCTGCTAAGAACCATTAGCTCCTCTGACTTGTATGACTTGATAGAAATTCCCAGTTATAAATATGAAATGGCTGTTGAACAAATAAATAGGTACACGTTGTCTACCTCTGGAGAAAGTTAATAAGCTTGATGATAAGGTCTCTTAACTTGCTTAATGAAGCAAGTACATTTCCTAGTTATCTTACATAAAGAATATCAAAATATTAATGGGCTTATGTAATTGTAAAGTAAGAGAAACTAGAAATTTTAAATATGATTTATGTGTTGAATATATAAGAATTTTCTTGCTAAAGCACACCTCAAGGAACTAAAAATGTTTAACTTGAAGTTTCATTAATGTCCTTGATTACTAGATTGGGAAATAAAATGCAAAAAATTGCTTTTAAAACAAACTGGGTGCTTTACTATACAATAATATAAAGTATAAAAATGACTTTTTAACAATAATCAAGATGACTGAAAATTAAAGAGATTTATTAAATTTATTTAAAAACAACTTTATCTCTTTCCTCTATGCCAGTCTTGGATATGTTTTTTTTCGTGAAAACATACTAATTTGATTTTCCAAAATTCTCCCTATTGACTTAGCTGCTTAGATAAACTAATATCATTTTAAGATTATAAAAATCACAAAATTATGTGTTCAACTGAATTAAATTTAAAAGGTAATTTCTTTGCAAAAACATATATATAGGGTGTGGGTATTTAGCCTAGTAGTTAAGATACCTGCATTCTATATCAGAGTATCTGGGTTCAATTCCAAGCTCTGGCTCTGGACTCCAGCTTCTGCCAGTGCTGACCCTGCAAGGCAGCAGTGGGAACTCCAGTAATTGGGTTCCTGCCACTTATAGAGACCTGGAGTGCAGTTCTCTGCTCTGATCCTGGACAGTATGGGCATTTGGGAAATGAACCAGGAAATGGGAGCCCTTTCTCTCTCTCTCTCTCTCTCTCTCTCTCTCTCTCTCACTGTTTCTCTACCTCTAAATAAAACAAAATAACAATGAAAAAAAAAAACAGAGGACAAGAAGGAGAATATAACATGGCTTGTCAAAAATAGAGAGTTCTCAAATAGTAGAGTTAGAAACATACCAGGGGATTCCAATTCAATCCCATCAAGGTGGCATGTACCAATGCCATCTCACTAGTCCCGGTGATCAATTTCTGTTCACAATTGATCATAATGATAGGACTAAGAGCCAAAGGGAGCACACAAACAAGACTAGTGTCTGCAAATACTAGCTGATAGAATAAAAAAGGGAGAGAACGATCCAACATGGGAAGTGAGATACACAGCAGACCCATAGAATGGCAGATGTCCTAAACAGCACTCTGGCCTCAGAATCAGCCCTTAAGGCACGCAGATCTGGCTGAAAAGCCCATGAGAGTATTTCAGGCATGGAAAGCCAAAACACTCTGGCAAAAACAAAACAAAACAAAACAAAACAAAACAAAACAAAAACACCTAAATTAAAGATCTCCGCGAGTGAGATCCCAGTGAAAAGAACAGGTCTTCAAAGAAGGAGGTACCTTTCTCTGAAGGGAGGAGAGAACTTCCACTTTGACTATGCCCTTGTCTAAATATGATCAGAGTTGGTGAACTCAAAAGGCTTCCATAGCCTTGGCAACTCATGACAAGAGCCTAGGGTGATTTCTGATGCCATAAACAAGAGTGTCAATTTGTTAAGTCAACAATAGGAGTCACTGTGCACTTACTCCTCATGTAGGATCTCTGTCCTTAATGTGCTTTACATTGAGATTTAATGCTATAACTAGTACTCAAACAGTATTTTTCACTTTGTGTTTCTATGTGGGTGCAAACTGTTGAAATCTTTACTTAATATATGCTAAACTGATCTTCTGTATATAAAGAGAATTGAAAATGAATCTTGATGTGAATGGAAGAGGGGAGGGAGCGGGAGATGGGAGGGTTGCAGGTGGGAGGGAAGTTATGGGGGGGGAAGCCATTGTAATCCATAAGCTGTACTTTGGAAATTTAAATTCATTAAATAGAAGTTAAAAAAAATAGAGAGTTCTTGGTCTTCTGCTTTCAGGGTCTCTGATCTGGAGAATAGTGTGGGCTGTTTTGTTTAAAGATAATAATGACTTAAAAATGCTGGCATTATACTGGTGTAACACTAAAAAATGTATGTACACAAGGTGTTGAGTATGTTTTGCCTGTGTATGAAGGGAATTGCTACAGTTGATTACAATGGCAAATTATATGCCTATATGCATATACATGCGTATGTAGCAGGCACACATATGTGTGCGTATGTAACATATACAAATCTATATAACATATGTATATATATATATGTGCAGCATTTGTACATACATACCTGTGCATATGTAATTGGGCATCTTAATGAACTGTAAAAGAATTTCCTTGATAAACAGATAAAACATCCATTGTCTTATATAATTATTCATAAAATATTCTAGAATATATACATACATATCACCTTGTACGTTATGCAGATGGAACAATCACAAACTTGCAGCAAAGTTGGAAAGCTTACAAAGACCTATCATTGCCTGAGCCTGATTGCAATTCACAGCCTGGTGCCCTACCCTTCTGACCAGTGTGTTTCCTACAAACAAAGACATTCTTCCATAAAACCCTAATGCAACCAGCAAAACTGGGAAATTAACCTTGACATATTATGCCATGTGATCCTTGAAATGCATTCAAGTTTCTGAATAACAGTCGTAATAGAAAGAAGACCCGGTTCAGAATTGCGAGTTGCGTGTTGTTGCCGTGTCCCTATTGTCTCCTTCAGTCTGAGACAGCTTCTCTCTACTTGACCTTCATGGCCTGGTGACTAAAGGTCAGTTATGTGGTCAAAAGTCCCTCAGTTTGAGTTTTTCTCATGTTTGCTTAAGATCAACACAGCTTCTGCATCTCTAGCAAGAATATCAGACAGATGCTGCTGGCTTCTTTCACTGTCTCCCTGTTTGGGGTCCATGATGTCAGTTTGTCCCATCACTGGTGATGTCCTCTTTGATCACTTGGGTAAGTGGTGACTAGCAGGCTTTTCCGCTGGGATGTTGCTCTTCTCCACAGGCCGTTTATCATCCAACTAAATGTATTTCTTCTCCCCTTTCTCTCTGTCACCCCCTGTATCCCTAACCCTCCTTTCCATCCTATTGACTCATACATTTCTCTTTTATTCACTGAGTTATAATCTGTTTCTATTATTATTTTATTTTTTTTTTTTTTTTTTTTTTTTTTTTCAAGAGAATTAAATCGTTTATTGATTACACATGATAATGGATGATACACAGCTTCATTCCCATCTGTAATTTTATCTGGTACCATTATTCAATTTAGATATATTGCAAAGGATGTGCCAACAATCATTCTTATAACCAAATAACCCCATGACTTTGCTTGGGTGGCTTTTAATGGTGAACTTCAGAAGGTCACAACAGTAACTCATGTATCTGAGAACAGCTTCTCCACCCGAGCATTTTGTAAATAAATCTCAAATGGAACCTGGCATCACCCTGATGAATTCTGACTTTACACTTTTTGGGGAAGTTTACCAAGATGGCTTCAGAGTAGACTAACTTTACACAGCACATTTAAAAAAAAGACACATTTATTCAGCGTCATGATCAGACTATTACATTTAGCAATCAACAGCATGGGTGCAAAAGAAAAAAAAAGAAAAAACTACATTAAAACCCTTTGTTGGAATGCTTTACACTTTCCACAGAACAGAAACTAAAATAACCTGTTATACAATTAGTCACAAATACAGTCCTCGAGTTTTTTTGCCCATACACATGAGTATTGTCTAAAACATGTCTTCTTTGTAGCAGCTAGGCCCTGCCACCACTGTGCTTGGCTGAGTTCACAAATCTGTTGTAACCTGTAGCTTCCCTGTCACTTCTCTGGCTCTCCTCTCCTGCTAAGCTTTGTTTCCTGGCAGTTATTAAAACCTTCTGCCACTGCCATAGCTGCTGCTGCTGCTAGAACCACCATAGCCACCTTGATTTCGTGGTTTGGCAAAATATTGGCCGCCACCACCATAGGGGCCAGAGCTTCTGCCTCCAAAATTTCCTCCCTTCATGGGTCCAAAATTTGAAGATTGATTGTTGTAATTGCCAAAATCATTGTAGCCTCCGCTGCCTCCAAAACTGCTTCCGTCATTACCAAATCCATTGTAACCATCCCCACTGCCACCATAACCACCTCCACCGCGGCTGCTGCCGAAGCCACCTCTCGGGGTGGACGAAGCGCTGGCCATCTCCTGCTTCGACAGGGCCTTCCTCACTTCACAGTTGTGGCCGTTCACAGTGTGGTATTTCTGAATGACAATCTTATCCACGGAGTCATGGTCGTCGAAGGTCACAAAAGCAAAGCCCCTGGCCGGCGCCGCGGCTCACTAGGCTAATCCTCCGCCTAGCGGCGCCGGCACACCGGGTTCTAGTCCCGGTCGGGGCGCCGGATTCTGTCCCGGTTGCCCCTCTTCCAGGCCAGCCCTCTGCTGTGGCCAGGGAGTGCAGTGGAGGATGGCCCAGGTGCTTGGGCCCTGCACCCCATGGGAGACCAGGAAAAGCCCCTGGCTCCTGGCTCCTGCCATTGGATCAGCGCGGTGCGCCGGCCGCAGCGCGCCAGCCGCGGCGGCCATTGGAGGGTGAACTAACGGCAAAAGGAAGACCTTTTTTCTCACTGTCCACTTTG